GGCCGGCGAGAGGTGGGGGCTTGTGGAGCTGCCGAGGCCGCCTCCAGGGCACCGCTCTTCCCTCTGAGGCAAGGCCGGCGACGGAGAGATGGTTCTGAGGGAATGGGGTTGTCGTGTCACACGGCTCCAGGCAAGCCCTGGGAGAAAGGCGATCCTTTCGGCAGTGTCTGGGCAGAGCAGCTCTGAGCTCTCTCATCGCTGTGTAACGAAATCCCACCTTTCCGTACACACAGGCGGTGGTTTCCATCAGGAGTGTCCTTCCTGCCAAAGGCAAAGTGCTGCTTTTCCACCAGGGAGCTGGCGCCCTCAAACCCTTGCTGGTGCTAGGCCCAGAAGGTGGGAGAAGAAAGGACCGCTGGAGGTGGTTGGGTTTACGTGTACTCCCTAAGCAGCATCTCCTTTTGCCATTGTTTCAGGCAGATCGTTGGCTAGCTGGACCGCTGGTCTCACTCCAGTTTCTTGTCAACAGTCACTTGCTTGAGTGGCGTTACTAGCTATTACTAAATTTTTTTTAAAGTGCCCTGAAAATTCGTGGATTAAACAGCTGATACAGGGTTAACTCTCTTCCACTATCAAAACCCTTAAGCCATGGATGGCAGAAACCAAGAGAAATGTGTGGTGCTGAAACACAGGTACACAATTTCTCTTCTGCCTCACATACTGCTGTTTTTCAGCTTTTATTTTCATTATAATTGACATAAAAATCTGGAAGGTGTGTCCTTGGAAAACTGGGGAAACACAAAACGATGAGAAAGCTCTGAACAAATTACTTAACTAAACTGGGCTGTCAGATGACAAGACAACCATACAATGCCCGATGTAGGAGAAGGTTCAGTTGTAAGTGTGAATAACTGGTCACTAAGGGAGGACATAGGACTGGAGTGAATCATTTTGTGAGAACTAGCACACTTGGAGCTACCTTACAGTTTATTTTAATGCCAGTCTCAGTTTTAATTCCCTTGTTCCCACCTCCCATGGCATCCCCTGGTAACACCATTCTCTTTGGAACTGGTGAGAAGACTGAAGCCTCCTCACAGAGATGTAGCTAATAACCAAACCTCCAGGCTTGATTACTGCATGACTTAGATCCACAGCCTGGACCAGATAGATGCTATGGGAAAGTAACGAAATGATAACTGTTGAAAATTCAAATTTGGAGTTTGAAAGTTGCTTGGCCTAGCGTAAGTCCTGATGGATCGTCAGAGAGCTGAAGGCAATAATCACATCCCACTTGCATCTGGTCGCATCCCCAGATAAATGGCAGTATCGTGCTGAATATCTAGTCATCAATTACAATAGCAGTGGAGCACGAAATCACTGCTTCACTCCTAAAGAGCTGTGTCTGGAAGTGACCATGAAAAAACTGCGTCTGACTCAAATCACCCTACCTGTTCTTCAACACATTGTGCTCATCTTTTGCAACGTCAGTGAATGTTTGTCGGTATCAATGTCCAGCTGTTAAGATTATCCTGTTACTCTCCATGGAGTTAATAGCTTATCCTTTCTACTTTGATGCCCTTCTTCTCAGGGTTTCATTTACATTATGGAGAAATGAAATTGCTGACCAACAAGGAAGTGTTTGGTTGTGGGTTGGTTTTGTCAGTTTTTTTTCTGAGCATGGAAAAAAGAATGGTACCGAAAGATGGACATAATTAGTGAAAATCTTTAGTGTTAGGGGCCCCAGTTTGCTTTGGTGTCATTTAACTGATAAATGCACAATTCAGTTTTCAAGCTGAACTCTTTCCCCCCCTGTCCTCCACTCACGTCCAAAAGCTTTATTACTTTCCAGTAGTTTTCTTACTTTTTGTGCAAGAAAAAAAAAATCCTGTATTTTACCATAATTTACCATTGTGATGGGCTACACACACTTAAAGCTCAAAAGAACAGGCCTACCTATAGTGCTAATGAGTGGTCAGATTTATGGACTGACTGCTCATACAAATTACCGCACCAAAAATTTAAAGGTATAGCCACATGTGGGCAATGTGGTCACTCTTGTGGAAGGAAGTCTTTAAGTAAGGTAAATATACATTGGTGTCCCCATTCTGCCTCCTCCTGGCACCTCCTTTCCACTGTGGATGGATTTCATCGTGTGCTGTATTTTGCCGATCCTGTTTGCCCTGTTGCAAAACCCTGCAAGGTGTGCAGGTACAGAACCAGTTACACTTGTGTTAGGCCAGGTAACCAATTTAGAGTCTCCTAAGATCACATATACTTGCACAAGGACTGGACATTGTCCTTGCTGCCTAATAAAGACGATGATGACCATAAGTGCAACTCAAAGCCACTTCTGGCCAGCCACTCCCGTTTTAAGTTGTGCTGAAGGTGGTGTGTATGCAATGGAAGATCTGTCACTGGAGGTCCAGCCTCCCTCATTCCATCTGCACTCTATCAGGGACTTGCCATCTTCTTTAATGTAACTCTGCCTACAAAATCAGTATGAGAAGAAAAAGCTAACTGGAGCACTCTAAGGTTCATTTAAACCAACCTCAGTAAAATTATTTCAGATTAAAAATGATATAGAGGCCTAGGGTATTATCAAATGAAGTGTTTTCTTGGCTCAAACCTCTGTTGCTATTTAGAGCACATCTTCTGTAATGCCCATGTTGTTAAATATTACAGTATTAAGTATTTTTATAGCATTGAAGGGGCATCCTTCTGGTTTTTTATGGATGGAGGAATAATTATATCCCGTGACAAAAGCTTAGGAAGAGGAGCAGCTGTTCAGTCTTATCCAGTGGGAGCTGTGAGAACATATGGGTCTATTTTTCCAATTTTAGCTGGAGTACTGAAGGAAATTGGCATTCTTGATTATTTCTAACATAAAATAGAGCAGAAAGAAACCCTCCTTAATCCTCTGCAGGCCATGATTAAATAATGAATTTTATCCAATTCAAGTAGGTTCAAAGAGAAGGCAAGCAGAATACTTAAAACACAGAAAACAAAGCACACAAATGCCAGGAGAATTCTGGAAGTTATTTTCACGTAAAAAAAGGGTGTCTTTCTCCACAGCTACTTCCTTCTTGAGCCTGCCTGCTGACAAGAGTTTTTGATTTAAAAGCACAGTTAGGATAAAATTTGTGCTATTCCTTATTATTCTATCACCACTATCCCCTCTCCATTTTAAGATGGATATGTCATATGCTTGTATAATGACAGCTAACCTTCAGAGTTCAAGACCAAATAAAAAGTTGACTTTTATGTTGATTTCACGAATTTCTTACAAAGATTTTGAAGTAAGATGAAGTCATCAGTGTGATACACAACTCCAAAAAATTCCACCTATTTCAAACTGCTTGGCATTCGGTGTTCGGTAAAAACCATGCAAACAAAGGAAACAGGCCGTTGGATGAAAAGAATAGAATATCCAGCTAATTAAAATCCAGAACAGAGTAAGTAATAATGTACCAAATTACGGCTTTCCCCATATCTTTGTACGGGAAATACTTATGTTTTACTTTATGGGATAACTGTTGTAAGACAACAAGAAAACAGAGACATTTATCTCCATTTCCCTTTTTAAAATATCATACCAGTAAGGGATGGGGGGATTGTTTCTGTTTTTTCCTGTTGGGTAAGAGTAAAAAAAAAATTGTGTTTGGGTTAGAAAAGAGGAAAATTGCAACTAAAAAAAAACCAAAACTGCATCACAAGTAATTGTCTTTGTTCATGCTATAGAACTGTGTAATCACGCCAGTGGAAACCAGGCTTTGTGCTTTTTAGCTCTATGTGTCTCATCAGGTTCTAAAATGGACTCTGAAGAGATTCCTTCCCATGAGATGATGGTGACCTCTGTTGTTCCCTTCTGTTGATACCAGCCATGGTGCTGTTTTGTCATTGTGTCACACGCTGTTTCAATAATGCACTTTGAAACAACCTGGTAGTTATCAAGAAAATATGGGCCAGCATGTTGCATTCAAGTTTCTGGCCAGGAAAAGATGTGCCTGTTCTGCACTCCACTTGAGAAAATTTAACTTGAGACTTTCCTCTCACACAGCCCCTAGTCTGGCTACCAGGTTTTTCAGTTCATAGCTGTGAATCACTGCAGAAAAGAGCAGTTGCAAACATTTTAAACCACAGTGCTAATAATAACACCTGCAACGTATTATGAGAAAAAGCTGCAGGTATGACTATGGAGGAGGAAGTTGGAAGAAAGAAAGAAACAACCTACTTAGAACAGACTCCATTCCTAAAACTGGAGCTGAGATTTTAGAAGGGTGTTAGGTTGCATAAACTTTTTGTTCCCCCCAAAGATGCTATTTAAAAAAAATTTTTGGCGTGCTTTCGCACTTCAGTGACCCAAACTTCGTAACTCCAAATAAGGATGTTTTACCTAGTGCAAACAAAACTTCAGTGTTTTTAACTGGTTTAGTGGGGGTTTTCACCTCTTTAAACTGCTGGTCTACCTTTTTAAATCAGTATAAAAAAAATGGGATATCAACTCATTCACTCTTACTATGCAGGGACTCAGCATTGATGACTACTGCCTAACAGAAATGTTGCCGTTCCTGATTGTGGAAGGCTATCGCTTAGCAGAAGCATAGCTGGGAATCTCTTCCAGTCCACATCACTGACAAGTCATGTAATTTCTGCATTTCACAAGCAGCTGCAATGACACAGTACGAAAGAGCTGTGACTCAGTAATTAACAAAAGTTCCTAATGTCCTTGAAATACACACTTTTTTATGCTCCTATTTGCCTGAGAACCGAGAAATACCACTTTGCAATGTATAAATGTACTTAGCTGCTGTATTTATGCTGATTCTTGCTAACATGCAGAAAATACGTCAGCAAAGTGATAAATCAGTTCCCCAGGGTACAGATCAGTCATAAAAAAGGCAAAAATAATCAATTCAAAGTACTTACAGTAGATGGAGCTATACA